TTGCCCAGCGGGGGGGGTGCAGCTTCTCCCTGGGGTCGGGGTCCAGGGCTTCCTGTCACCGCCCCGCCCCAAAAGGGGATTTGGGTCATGTTGACCTCTGACCTCAGGTGCTGGGGAAGACCCGCTGCCTCCTAGACACTGGGGGCGTGGCCAGAGGGGGCAGGCGCAGGGAGCCCCCCCCTTGCCCCTATCACCAAGGCTCAGGTTTGGCAGCAGGGCTTTATTTCCCGGCACGTACACACGTGTGGGGCCGTGCGCAGTGTCACGCCCAGGGGGGCGCCCTGCCGTGGTGCAGCCGGTACCGGGCCACCAGCTCCGTGTGTTTCTGCTCCAGCAGCTCCTGCTGCTTCTGCAGCCCGTTTACCCTGCAAGGAGGAGAGAGAGATGGAGGGGCACGCGCGTGTGCGCAGTCACGTGCACTCTGGCACGCGAAGAGGTGCGAGGAGGGGGCTGGTCCCTTTGGGAGCATGTGTTGGGCTGCATGAGCTCCTGAACACACACTAACATGCTAGTGCACATGCGAGTGTGAGCTCCTGGATGCTCTCTAACATGCTGGGACACAAGTGTACACATGCTAATGAGCTCCTGAACATGGCTGAATACATTAGGAGAGGCACAGAAGCACACATACATGCTCCTGGACATGCTCTAACACACTACTGCACACATGGACACACACTAGCATGAGATCCAGCATGCACATTCACCCTACGGCACTCATACACGCACCAGTGCAAGCTCCTGGACACGTTCTAACATGCTACAGCACACGTACACATGGCAGCCTCAGCTCTTGGACACACTCATGCATGTGTGGGCAGCCAAGGATGAGCGTGCATGCCTGGGGGACCCCCAGCTGGAGCCCACCCCTTCCTCTCCCTGCTGGGGGGTGGGCTGTGGGATGGGGCCAGGGCTTGGGGGCGGGGCCATCATACCGGGCACGCTCCTTGGCCTCCTTGTAGATTTTGGCGATGCGTTCATCCTTCTCATCCATGTACCTCTTGTGGGCCTGCTGCAGCTCCCTGCGGTGCCAGGCACGGGGTCAGGTGGGATCCAGGCTCCTGCCCTCCCCACAACCCCTCCAGCCCCAACTCCCTTCCCAGAGCTGAGAGTTAACCCAGGTGTCCCGGCAGCGAGACCCCCAGCTACCCCCAGGGCCGGGGCCTGCGGTGATGGGCAACCCAGCTGGGGAAACTGAGGCATGGCTATTCCCACCCCCTTTCTCCCAGTCCTCCTAGTTCCCAAGGTATAGTGGGGTGTGTGGGGGTGAGCATATACTGCCAGGCAGCCAATGGGAAGGGGAAATCAAACCCCAGCTATCAGGCCTGATGCAATGACAATGAGCAACCTAGATGGGGAAACTGAGGCACAGTGGCCCAGTCCTCCTAGTTCTCCCAGTATGTGAGGCATGCTGGGATGACAGAGGACAGGGGTAGGCAGGACACTGCCAGGCAGCCAATCAGAAGGGCAAAAGGATCTCAGGTATTAGGCTTAAGGCCAGGGCAATGAGCAGTCCAGATGGGGAAACTGAGGCACAGATGCCCAGCCCTCCCAATACTTGAGACATACTGGGATGACAGAGGGTGGGAATGGGCAGGATGCTGCCAGGCAGCCAATGGGAAGGGCCCCAGGTATCAGGCTTGAGGTCCTGGCAATGGGCAGTACAGATGGGGAAACCGAGGCACAGCTACCCAGTGTTCCCAATACCTGTAGGCCAAGTAGTGGATGGCCATCCCGCCCAGCATGAACAGGATGCAGTAGGTGAAAATGCGCTGGTTCCAGAGCCGGATGTGCTCAGCCTCGGAGCCCGTGAAGCCGCCAGGGGGAGGCGTCCGGAACTGCTCCCAGTACCGCTGGCTCTCTCTGGGGTAAGGAGGAGGGTGAGCCTGGACGCCTGGGCTCCCTCCAGTTGGGAGAGGGGAGCGAGGGCTTGAGGGGACAGAGCTGGGAGCCCGGTCACCTGGGTTCTCTCCAGCTCTGGGAGGGGAGTGGGGGCTGGGGGGACAGAGCGGGAGCCCAGACACCTGGGTTCCCTCCTGAAAGGGGGCAGGACACTGGGGTCAGAGGGGCCAGTCAGGGGTAGAGAGGGTCTGGTCCTGGGGTACCCGGGCCCCTTTCCCCCCACCACCGCCACGTCAGGGCCTTACCTGTAAGGGGGCGGGGCCCGCCAGGGGTCAGGGCCTGGGCGTGGTGGAGGGGGGCGTGGTGGGGTCCAGGCCTGGTGGAGGGGGCGGGGCCTGGCCTGGCTCAGTGCCCTATAGGCCTCCAGCAGCTGGATGAACTGGCCGTGCAGTGCCGGGTTGGAGGGGTCTGTGTCGGTTAGACTCCCCTGCAATAAGTCGACATGGAACCCAGGCGTCCGAGCCCCTAGGCCCCCTGCTCTCAGCCCCCAGCCCCTTCTCCCCTCCCAGATTTGAGAGAATCCAGGCGTCCGGGCTCCCGCGCTTGGGGCTGCGCATGTTCCAACAGGCCGGTTGTGACCCCCATTTCCCACTGCCATGGCAACTGCCCCACCTGCTTGGACAGGCGCAGGAA